TAAAACAACAAATGAAATACTCAAAACTTAGTAGGTGATGACAGTTTCATTTCCTTTTTTTTCTCTCCCTCCTTCTCCATATTTCTTTCTATATATGTATGCATTTATTTATGTATGTGTATAGATAGGTATATAAATTTGGTACATATTACTGTTTCAATTATATTTTTAAGTTTATATTAATTTTAAGTAGTCAGTCTACAAAGCTATTTTATGATATTCCTTCCGTAAAGCCTGACATTATCTCTATGAATGACATGAAGACAGTTTAGAAAATCAGATCATTAGTGAGACTCAACAGTGCCCCTTTCATCTTCCATTTTTAAGTGCCCATCATAGCTACCTGTGTATCTCATTCTCTTCCTTTATCCTCTAGAGACAGAAACCTTTCATTTGTCTTATAACTTAGAAGACTTTCCACTCTGGTCTGCACATATCTGCTGAGTTCCATAATCCACACACCCACTACTTTTTTAAAAAGGCAAATATGATTGTTATTGTTTGGATCTACAATGGTCCATAAAGTCCATACAGTAAGGCTTGGTTGTCAGGCATTGGTACTCTCAGAAGGTGATGGAAGTTGTAGGATGTGGAACCTCATTAGAGGTCACTGACACCATGTCTTTGAAGGGAATATAGGGACCCCAGTCCCTTTCAGTTTCTCTGCTTCTTAGCTGCCAGAGAGTTAGCAGTTTTCCTCTACTACATGTTCATACCATGATGAACTGTGCTCCCACAGACCAAAAAGCAATGTATCTGGAAAAATCATGTAATAAAACCTCTGAAACTGTAAGCTAAAAATACATGCCCTCTTTTCCAGTGGTTATCTCTGGTTACTTTATCACAGCGATGGGAAGCTGACTAAAATACTGATCTAGTCACAGTAACCCTATTCTTTTCTGTTTATAATCTTTAAGTAGATTATATTCTTAAATTAAAAGCTATAATTCTTAGTGTAGTGTAGTTAAGACCTGCGTGTGTGTGTGTGTGTGTGTGTGTGTGTGTGTGTGTGTGTGTCCACCTTATTCTTATGCGCTATAATCACTTTTCTCCTGAATGTATTCTTTCTCTGGTGTTGTGTTCTTCCTCTCTTGCCCAGGCTGGTGCTTCTGCTCTCTACTCTCATTCCTCAAGTTACTTCTGAAGGGCACCATTTCTAATCACTAATTTATGCGAAATTTCCTAGTAATGGGCTCTCATGGTATCATTCATTGTCACAAATGTAGTTTCATAGTACACTTAAAAGAGCATTAGATTGGCATCTGCCACACACTTTCTTGGGTACTTCTCTGTGGCAGGTAGAAAGACTCAGAGAAGTCACTTTATAGAGCGGGAGATAATTAATGCATAGAGATTTCTGTAATCTGAATGTTTAGATTCTCCCAAATTGGAGTCTAATCAGCAGTGTGATGCTATAATACCATAGGGTCTTTGGAGTGATTAAATGTGATGAATGGGGTTAAAAAATTAAAAGACCCAAGAAAACTGTCTCTCTTTACTACCATGTGAGGAGAGAAAGCAGACATGAAATCTTCCAGCTTCTTAACCTAAGCTTCCACAATCTCCAGGATTGTAAAAAAAAATTTTTTTCTTGTTTTTAAGCCAGCTGATTTATGGTATTTTGTTACAGCAGCCCAAATGAACTATGAAAGACATTCAAGTCTCAAGACACTGGCTCCTCTTTTAGCATTTCAGTTAGAAGTAAATTTTACAAATACAGGATATGATTTGAGCAGATGCAGTAGCTTGTAGCTGCAGAGTGAGACAGCTGCTCAGACAGCAGGGGTGTAACCGGGGCCACCCCACACAGGAGAGAAGATGAGCAGAGAGCAATGATATGGGTGCTGCTGATTTTTCCATGGTGAGGAGTAAGGACTTGGGGCTCAGTGATAAGTATCTTCAGTATAAGTGTTGGCTAATGAAAATATTGGACCAGTTATCATAGAATTCAAATAATTATGACTGTATTCTAATTTTCCATCAAATGGAACTGGAGTGCAGAATGTCAATCTGAATCAGCCAAGTGCAGATCGGGTGTTCTTGTCATTACTCCACACTACTGAACAAAATGTCTCTGAATCTGCAAGATGGTGCTGGCTGGACACAGCAGAGAGGTGCGGGAGAAAACAGGGAGAGATGTGGAAGCACAGCACATGCAGCTCTCCCAGGTGAGGCCTCACAGTGAGTGAAGTGCACACACAGGAACAGAGAGAGCGACCACAGAGGGAGTGGAAAGTGCTCAGTGTGGAGGCTGGGTTTCACCTCAGAGCTCTGAGAAGTCACCTGCTTCAGGAACAAGCGAGAGGAACTGTGGCTAATGAACAGATTTTTCAGAAATGAGTGGGCCCAGGCCCCTCTCTAGATGAGGTCTCCTGCTTATACCGTAACACAGATGACTCCAACACCTTGAAAGATTAGCGTGATGGAATGGTAGCAAAAGCTAGGTCTCACCTGTGGCAGGAAAAGAAATACCACATTGGAAGCTCCTGTGATGATGTTTGCAGGGTGCTGAATAAAAGGAACAACATTTATTTGAGAAAATGAGTAAATGATATGATCAGACAACTCATTTTAAGAAAAACAAAACAAAACATAAAGAACTAGGACAGCTGTTGATCACATGAATAAAGCTAAGCACGATTCAGAATAGAAAAAATGTACATTACGGTCCCTGCAGACCACTGTTCACCTGTCAAGTTGGCAAAATTCAGAACTTTGGCTACTCATGCAGGGATTCTCGAGCAGGCACTCCTTATGCTGTTACATTGGAAATAAAAAGCAATTCATCTCAGCATTATATAATAGCAAACAATGGAATACAACCAGGGTTCCAGCAATTTAGCAATTACATAAATTAGAGACTAAATATATTGTTGAATAGCTTTGTGCAATACATAGCTCTGAGCTTGGTGACACTTACCTATAACCCCAGCATTATGGGAAACTGAGGCAAAAGATCACAAGGTGTAGCCAGCCCTGGGAAACTTAGTAGTTCAGTGATACTATTCCTCCTGCCTCCATACCTCACAAAAAATGATTCAAAAAAGAGCCTGAAGACATAGCTCAGTGAGATGGCTTGAGTTGAATTCCCAGTATCAAAAACTAAAAACCTCTTTAGACAGATGGAAAGATAATCAAAGTCTACTATCAGAATGTGAGGGGTACGCAACAAGGTGTATTACATCACAGTTTATATATGAAGAGAGAGGCAATGGCACTAAACTCCTTGTTTCTATTTACTTGGAAAAGTCAAAAGTAGTTGGATTAATATTTTCAAAGAACAGTAAGACACTGACAATCTTGTACTGTCATGTCTATGCTGGGGTTATAGGCAAGTGTCATCAAGCTCAGAATTATGTATTAGAAATGTGGCTGATATGATCATTTCATACCTTTTGATTATGTGAATCATCTGAATACATTCCCTATAAAAATGAAATTTAAAAAATATAAACACCAAAAATTCATGATTGAAGACTTTTTTCTCCTTTTGGTTTTCAGAACAGGGAAAGTTTGCCCTCTGGGACTCTATTTTACTAGGTGATTTCAAAATTTCCTGACCTCACTGTCACTTGGATGACAGTGAAAACAGAATGAATTTTCCATTAGAATGTAGAACATGGATTCTGGTTAGTTGCTGGATTCCCTTTCTCAGTATCTTGCTTGTCTTGGGCAAGATACTGAATGAAACTTTTACTTTCCATTTGGTTTTGGAAGAAACTGTAGGGAAAATCTTCCTGCAAGTCATACATATAAAACATTTGGTGTTTTAGTTGTATCTCATTTCATTCGTCCACATCTGTTTCCTGTTTCGCTAACAAAGTACTGGAGACTGGGTGATTTATAGAGAATAATGGTTTACTTCATAACTCTACAGTCCGGGAAACCTTAAGATCATGACACTAGCATGTGGTGAGCCTCATACCATGGTGGAGGGCATCACAGGGTAAGATGGAGAAAGCCTGCCAGTTCTGGTCTCTAGTCTCTTACCTTTCTTATACAGCCACTGATGCCATTCAGGGACCTTCTCTAATGCTAATTACCTCCCAAGGGCCCCTCTCTCCAAGTACTATTAACGTGAATTTGGGGTTTAACCCACTAATGTATATATGGGGGACCCATCCAAAACTGAAGCTCTTGTTTTCTCTCTCCACGCATTTACTCCGCTTCAAAGTGTCTTGGTGAATGTTTCTAACAAAATCTCTGAGGGAAAAGCAGTCTTGACTTATAACATTTGCTAATTTCTAAGCCCTAAATACTCTCCCTAATTGATTTCAAGTTGTCAAGACAACAAGAGATAGCCTAGCATACAATTAAATAGTATTTCCACCATATAGATTTGACAGGTATACATAATCTTAAGAGCAGAGATAACAGTAAAATGTAGCAAAATAATTAAGAAGGGCTGTGTTTTGAGCATTTACTGCTTTTGCTTTTAGTTGAATGTATTTAATTATGTTAATGCCATTTAATTTGGATAACAACTATGTTTAAAACATAGTTTGGAAAGTTTCTAAAACTCTAACAGTCAGTTCTCATGAGCTATTACTGTGTGATTTAGGTCCAGAGCTGTCTCCTCAAAGATGAATTCTCTCTCCCCACTCTGCTGACTAAGCTGCTTGTGGTAAAACAGAATAAGATGACCCAGGTCAGGTGAGTGGATAATAATAATCACCATTATGTATCAAGCCCTGCAGTGTTTCAGACACTGTGAGAAGCACTTTCAGTCAGACTCCATTTAATCTTCACATGTAATTTACAAAGCTTCAACTATGGGTTCTCATTACAAAATGAAGAGTAAGGCTCAGGGATCTGGAAAGGGGTACCTGAAAGCTAAAATCCAAGTCAGGCCCACTTCTACTTTTGAACTTTTATACTCCAATGTTTTGAAATGGTTTCACAATGTAATTTGCATTGCATTGGGTAAGTGAAAAGTGATTCCAAGTTGTTAAAAATAGAGAAGAAAAAGAACCTTGGAGAGTGTGAAAGATGGGTCTTCTAACGCTCCCCAGAAAGTACGTTTTTCCTATGTCTGGAAGACATTGACTGGCTTGGATTTTCATTACATTTTCTCTGGAATTTCTCTGAGAAATATTCCTCTGGGTCATGCTTCAAGGGCTTCCAGTGCTCCTGTGTTGCTTTAAGATCCGTAAGTGTTGCTCATCTCTGCATCTCTCATGTCTACCTTTCTGCCTTCTTTGGGCTTCTCAGAATATGTAAATTGTTCTTTTCAAGCTAGGTCTGCAGGAAAAATCCGTTTAACTAGTGACCAAGTTTTCCCCAAAATAAGACCTAGCCAGAAAAGAATCAGACTTGAAAACTAGAAATCAAAAAACCCAGCCCCAATCACCTTCTCCTAACTGCCCCCTATCACATAGCCACTGAGCTATAGAATAGTCAGTGTGACATTGGCCATCACCATGGTAATGATCAACACTAACTTTCTGGTTAGGTCTTATTTTCAGAGAGAGGTGAGATTCCCCTGATTTTACAAAAAGTCTAAGGCTTTCAATTTTGTTCCACTGATTAGTGTGTCTGTTTTCATGCAAATACTATGCTGTTATAATTACTATAGCATTGTAGTATATTTTCAAGTCAAGTAGTATAATGCTTCCTGTATTGTTCTTTCACTTTGTGAAGTAAAATAAGCCAAAAAAGAAAGACAAGCTCTGTATGACTGTATTCACATGTGGCCTCTAAAAGGTGTAATATCAGAGGAGATAAGAGTAAAAATGCAGTTTCTAGAGGCCCAGGCAAGAAGGGGAGATTAAAATAGCAAAAGCGTTCATTAATGAATACTAAGACATAGTTCAAAGCAAGAAGTTCTCATGTGCTATTACACAGCATAGTGACTATAGATGATAATGCACTATTTTTAAAAGAAGTAATTTTGAATGTTTTCACCAAAACCAAAGAAGATGGATACACCAGAGAAACAGTTCAAATTGGAGTCTCTCTCTCTCTCTCTCTCTCTCTCTCTCTCTCTCTCTCTCTCAATTTCACACAGTAAGGTCTTCTGTTCTCAAGAGAGAGAGACCTCCAAAAAATGTATATGTACTTTGGTAGTTCACTGTGCTAACAAATGTCTAAAAGCTAATGACCATTACTATGAGCACTTTTTGGAACTGTAGAGGCCAAATATAACTTGTATTAACCTCATGATGTTTCAATAAATTTAGTATTAAAATATTTACACAAGCTTTTCTTTTCCTGATGTATATATTATTGTTTGGACTCTGAATATCTGTTTTGAAATGTCGTACGGTGCCAAAGAAATATGTACAATTTGTATATATCGTTAATTTAAAAACTGCATGTTTTAAAAAGCCAAAGGATTTCTTGCAATGATACGTGGTTGGCTTAGCAGAAAATTTGTGCTTCTGTTTTCATTATTGTGCTTGGTTATTTTTGTTTTATGTTTGAGAAAGAGTGTAATTGATAGGAAAATAATTGCATTGGCCCAGGCTTTCAGCATTTGGCAAACTTTGCTCCATGCTGCAATCATGCAGGGACCTGTCATGAAATCCCATTGCCTGTTGCCCACCCTGCTCTTCCTGATTTGATTGATAAGATACGGAAAACAGACCACGTGGAAGACTTTTTGGAAATACCCGCAGGGATGCTTAAGTGCAGGTAAGTTTAGAAAACATTGTTAATGTTCACAAATTCACCCTATAAGCACACTTACTGGGGAGTGTTTCCCTAGCATCATAGCATAGGTTAAGTTCATGAATGAATGCTCTAATGACCTGAATTCTGAGTAATTCTTCCCCTCCTATCTTAGGGCATATTGTTCTACATGATTTAGACAGCAGGCCGATTTAATTTTTCAGGGAGGGCTATCTTATTTGGGAACAAAATAAAACACTCCCTATTCACTGTTCCTCTCCCTGAGAAAGAGTTGGTGACTCAATAGAGCATAACTCAGGTGGCAAACGAGACTGCGCTTCAATGGCTTACTAAGTTACACCAACAGAGGCATTTACATGCAAAATTTAATGGACCAATTACAAATTATTTGGTTTTGTTCATTAAAGTAGAACCACAACTTAATAAGCAGGAACCAAAACAAATAGTTTTATTGTACAAATAATGCACAGTCAATATAGAAAATTAGGCTGCAGAAACTCAGCATGACTATTAAAAAAATAACCCTAGGCTGTTCAAGGTAAGATATGACTAATTCAAGGGCCCTGCTAATTCATGTACTATGAAAACACTCTGGAGAAGAATTTGCATCTACAGCATATACTTTTGGACAAGCTAAGGTCCTTGAATTTCACCTGTTTTCGCACAGGACACAGTGGGCCTTGAACCTATATTACCTCCATTTCATACAGCAAGGCCTTCTGCTTCTGGACTGCTGAGAATTATGAAAGTGAAGACCTGAGCTGTTCAACAGAAAGCCGCTCTATTTAGCAAATTTCAACTGGTAAAACTTGATAATGCCAGTATTGTGTTCCTTACTAAGTTTTCTTAGCTGTTTCATCCGAGGGTGACAGTCAAGTCTCTGTGTCAAAAGATCTAACTGTGGTCTTAGCAGTGGGTACCCGCTGAAGCAAACCCAGCAAAGCACGAAGGGGAGATGGCAGGTGTGGAATCACTGACAGCCCCCTGCACTGTTCTTTCAGCTGCTCGGCGTGTAGGAACATGTTTTATAATATGTTTGGGGCAGAGAAAGCCTTCATTTTATGCTATTTTTGAAAGAACAGTGATTGACACCTTAATGTAGTTTCAATAAATTGGGGCTAAATTACTAATGATAGTGAATAAAAAGTAATTAACCATAATATCAATTTACTCAGCAATTTTCTTTGAAACAGGGTCTCACTTCATCTCACATACATAGTTCAGCTTCACCTCAAATTCTTGGCAACCTTTTCGTCTCCTGAGTGCTGGGATTATATGAGCACAGTGCTTCCCAGCAAGGTGTTATTACCTCATCTCAGTCTTCACAACAAAACTATGGGGTAGATGCTACTGTTATCTCTATTTTGTAAAAGGAGAAACTGAGGCTCCGAGAAGAAAGTCAGTTTGCCTAAGATCCCAATCCCCAGGCAGTACAGACATTACTCCTTGGCCTCACTGTCTTTCCTATTAATTCAAATATAATATATCATCCAGAAACGTGCAAATTACAAGGTAAGGACAAGGCTTGTGAATTACTATGAAATGAACACACAAAATCAGCACCTAAGTGTAGAATCAACATTTTTATAACCCTGGCTGCCCTTTTACTTCCTCCAAATCCCAACTCTGTTTGGAAAACATCTCCTTTTGTTGCTTCCAACAACACTGATGCTGTTTGCTTGGCTTTAATATTGTTGTAAGAAGACTTCCTTTTTGTAAAGTAATAGCATTCTTAGCCCAAAAACTTTGTGTTTAAAAAACAAGTTGAATAAGCTATTATTGTATCAGGCAAGACTCCTCTCTGCCTGTGGAGGGCTTCCAAGTAACAAAAGTAATCATTTTAAGGAGACAGAAAGGGTGCTTTGTGAACAGAGGTTTCGTGCCTCTCTCTTTGTGGAGAGATTGTTACATTCCTAAAATTGTTCAGGCAAGGATGCTTTAAACTCCACATTTTAATTCTTCCTTTCATTGAATAGGTTATAATAGGCATAGAAAGAGAGGAGCAGAAGACTCATGTGAGCCTTTAATGTGTCAACTGTCAGATTACAGATGAAACAATAAAATAAATATCTGAAATAATGCTGATTGATGCTAATGGAAATTTTAGACAGGGTTTCAGAAGAGAAAGTATTGTTTCCTCCTTGCTTACCATAGCACAAGACTAAAAGCTTATTTTCATATGACTCAATCTTCTTCCATCAGTTAACCTACTAACCCATCCATTAAATATTACAGTACTGTGCAATTCTTATGTTCTGTGTGCTGACCATAGTACACTAAATGAAACCTTATTTCTTACTTATATATCTTGCCTATATAACACATACTTTCAACAGGGGGTGATATTACCCCCAAAGAGGGCAAAAACTGGTTGTTGAGAGGGAACAATTCTTAGCTTCTACAATATTTTATGATTCACCAAATAATCATACTGTAAAATCAAAATAAAATATCTGTGGTATTTAAATCATGGGACGAGAAGAGGATAGATAATTAGGGAAAAAATGTCAAAAATACTCCTAAGGAGACAATGAAAAAACGTAGAGAAACAATGACCTATGAGGGAAGGATAATAACTGATGAATATTACAGTAGGATTGATACAGGGACCAATGAGAAGAGGTAATTGTACATGGACTTAGATATAATCCTGGGTTGCCATCTGATGGGACTGTTTTTTTTTTTTTTAAATTTTTATCAGTACCAGGGAGCAAATTCATGACTGCCTGCTTGCAAGGCAGGTGCTTATGCCGCTGAGCTAAATCCCCAGCCCTGAAGGGATTTTTAAAGCCTAGAATCTTTGACTTACAGATGTGACGCGAGGCTGGGTCAGACTGGTAACAGTCCAGTATCTCTCATCATGTAATCTAGAGGCAGACAGGACTTCAGATGCAAACATTTTCCCCATGATTTTAGCCCATGTCTGAACATGCTCCCTGTTCTCACTACCAGCACCGCTGGGATTCTATCCTGTTTCTCTTCTCTGAACACTGAACAGTGAACTGCAAGCTCCAGAACTGTAAATGAGCCCAGAGCTTCCCCTTCTACAGTTCTGGATACAATTATGTGATTCATACAGTTGGCTTTTAATGGTGCAAGGCACTGGTTTAAGAAACATGGAACTTCCTTCACTCAAACAGACTCTAGTCTGATTTTACTGGGTCACTAAAGCCTGGGGATAATCTATGCCTCTCATTTAAAGCTAACTCAAGTGCAGCACTGTCCCCAGACCTGTATTTGTCTTCTGTCCCTTGTGGCAAGTGTCCACCATGGATACAGGTTTTTATGTTGATTTTTTGCTTCCTAAAAATAAAACCATAGAACTCTCTTATCTTCTGTTAAATTCTGGCTACTTCTTCCTCCATAGTCTCTTGCTATAATTTCCACTATAAGATCAGACGTGTGAATCTTTCCAAATTCCTGGATTGCTGTCTTCTTTCTTCAAGGAATTAAACGAGTTATCCTCAGTAATGGGCAGCTTCCCAGGCCTGCATCCTGGTGGCACACTCGCTGCTAAAGCAACTAGGTAAATACTGGCTGAGTGGATGGGGCAGGCTGAAAAGCCACAATGCGGCCACAGTATAATACCGGTAATGCTTTCTTTCTTCCAGGTTTCCAAGTTCAAGAGCTGAGTGAGATGGCTTCCTTCTCTCCAACTTCCAGCTCCAGCTCACATCTTTGTCTTTTGATAAGCTGCTGAACTATCCTTCCACTCTTGTTACCACTCATGCCATTGCTGTTTCCCCTTCTCCTCACATATGGAGCCAAATGGGAACCATGATCAATCCTTTTCCATAGATGGCAAAATAGAGGCTCAAACACATCAAATACCTTGTCAAATGCCACACAGAAAGCAGTGGAATTGAAAAGTCTGTCTCATGTTAACCTTGGTTCCCTGAACAATTATATAAAAACTGATTCCCTGACAGAGATATGTCTCCTAGCATAACCACCAGGCAGGCTTCTTGCTTATGCTGTTCATTTATTTAACTATTCAAACAAAAATGGGATGCTTACCATGTGACAAGCCTTTGCTGCAACTGAGAACCAAAGTCAAGACTGTGGCCCTTCACAGTCATGTTCACAGTGTATGCACATGTAGGTGTGACGATGGAGGGTGAACAGGCAAGTAAGTGAGTAAATATGAATGAGTTATTTTTATTTGTAACTTAGATATACTTTTATAATTGCTATGAAGAAAGCTTGGAGAACAGAGAGAAAGGGCCTGAGGAAGTGGAATAAAGACTTGCTTACTAGAAAGATGCATAAGGGTTATAAACTAGAGGAGGTGTTATTTAAAATTGAGATGTAAAGATGGAGGAGAAGCAGGTTGCAGGAAGGCTGAAGGAATGTGGTGCAGGCCGAAAAACCACGCACAAAGGTCCACGGCAGTACTAACCTGTGTGCTCCATCAACCAAAGGAAGTTAGTAACACTGAGGGGAGACAACAAGCACAGGAGGAAAGGTAGGAAGGTCTTTAAAGATGTTGGAAACCGGGTGAACAGTGTCCTGCAAAAAGAAATACTAAATGGCTAACACACAGTACTTCAGAATGTGACTTTATCTGAAAATAGGAGAAAGAAGTACCTGAGTTCGAGTGAGATCACTCTTGATTATCCAGTATGCCTGGTGTTCTCCTTAGAAAAGGAAAAGGAAACAGAGACACAGACACATATGGGAGAAGGCTCATGATGACAGAGACAGGGACTGCAGTGGTGGCCACTGTAAGTCAGGGTATACGTGAGGAAGGCCTTCACCACCGGAGATCCGGACCAGTCAAGGAAGAGGTCCGCCCTGAGTCTCAGAGGTCACATGACTGTCCTGATGACTTTATTTGGCACTTTAGCCTCCAGAACAGGGAGGTTAGTTCTATTGTTTTAAGGCCTCAGTTTGTGGTATCTGCCATGAGAGCCCCAGGAAGCTAGTGCAGCCTGATAGATGTCAGCAGGACCCAGACTTAATTCTGAATGACTGAAGATAGGTCACTGGGTCAGCCAGAAGGA